TTTGACCCAACAACAACATACAGTGTTGATTTTCAGGTGCAAATTTTATTGTGGATCATAACAAAGGTTTCCGAAAAAGCACAGGAAAAGATCAGCAATAGAGTGTCTTTTACAGAGTACATAAAATATATTCTGTGAAAGCTACTAACTCTGCAGTTGAAGGCAATGCAACCTAATTTAAATTTATCATTATTTTCAGATACAAGAAGCAAATTTTGAAAATATTCTTTTTTCTTAATTAGTTTGATATTGAAATTAAGAACCCCGTATTTCAATGACACTAACATTGTTGCAGAGTGTGTAGTATTAAACTGTTAGACAGAAAAGAAAATCTTATTATTGCAAAAAGAAATAGTCACACAGAAAATATTCTCAAAATACATAAAATTAGCCCTAGTAAATGTTAAATGACACAAATCCTCTTTGGAAAATCAGTGGATGCTGAGGTATGCAAAATTTTGGAATTTTGGTGCTGCTATCTCCATTTTTCACATGATGTATCAAAACAAAACTTTAAACTAATTTCAACTTTCTACTCAGGATTTCTCCAGCCTTTAATTGAACTTTAACTGTAAAGAAAAAACCCACACTAATTCTTACAGTAAAATGACAAGGGTCTATTAGGTAACAGTGTAGAAAATCTTGCAAGAGGTCTTCAAGGCACTGTTCTCTCTTTGGGTGCTTGGCACACACACAGGCCATTCATGAAGGCTGTTTTGACAGGAAGACAAGAATAACAAAAACTACACCTAAAGCTAGTATCTAGGACATTAAATATCATGTATCTCCTTCTCTAATGAAATAAAATCCATTACTTCTAAAAGCCATTCTGCTTTACAACACTGTGGCTTGCAGTAAGACATCTGCTAAATTAATCTGAAATACGAATTTAAAAACATACTTTATGAAAATCAGTAAGAACAAAGGTCAACCGAGCAGCATTTACCTCCATCAATATAGTCTGCCTGAATGTAAACCATTCCCAAGTACTGTAACTCTGTAAAACAGAAAGGACCAAATGCTCTGTTGATTTAATGCCACTGGTTTACATGTAGATAATGCCAATCAGCAACTTGGTCCACAGTCAATCAAAGCAGGTTAGGACCTTACCTAGTACTTGCTGGTCCACTTGAATTCCTAAACTACGTAGCTACAAGGGCTGCTGCCCCTCTATAACAGGAAGATACCTACTGACTAAGAAATGTAAAGAATGACTGTATTCTGCAGTCAGCTTGTTTAGTAAGAAAATTGGTGCGTCTGTACTCCATCAGAAACACAGAGCAATCCAATTCTGGACTTCATGTGTGCATCTCAGGTAAAATTATGCAAAGATTCCTTCCATATCTTTTTTTCTAGGGCCTGTTCTTTATAGGAACTAAATGCCAGTCAGCTGGGAAAGAAATCTGAAAACAACTGACCTCAAGTTTTTAGATAATTATTTTGACAACATCTTTTTGAAAAGCTATTAAGAATCTGTAGCTCCTCTTTGAAAAAAGTAACAGTTTTGTGTGGTTGACAGAGCATGCCAGGATCTATCAACAGCGAAAGGATGCCTATCTCCAACCACAAAACAAATCTGGATACCATATTGCTGGATACAATAGATGGATTAGAAGTCAGAGAAGCACAGAGAAAACAGTTCTTTCAGAAGTTTCATGATGTCCCAGCAGCAGTGTTCACTGTTTGTTTGTTACTCAAGGAAGGCTAATAATCTGCCAGTTTTCAGTGGACTCGGCTACCTGCAGGCCTTATGTGACAGAACACAACAGATAAGCACATTGGTCTGGTGGATGAGATCCAAAACCACCATGAGATCTTAAGGCAGTGGCTTGGATTCATACTACTTGGCTTTAGAAACCTAGCCAAAGTGCTGAGATAGCAGCCTCGAGGTCAGAACCTCTGGGACCAGCAGAGAAACTGGCCTTTCCAGGTGACTGTTCATATCTTACATGGGCTAAATCCATTGATTTGGATCTATTTAATCATTTAAAGGAATTATAAATAAAACCAGGATTGACCTAAAACTTAAAAAACTTCTATCTTAATATAAACAGTGAGGAAAATTCTGCATTCAGCTGTACATCAGTATACACTGCTGCGTATCAAGAATAAAAGCACTGTAGGTGTCAGCAGAATTTGGCCCAGCTAACTTAACATTTCACTTCCCTGAAGGAAGGTGCTGGCCTACACTGATTGCTGAAGAGCAAACTGTCTACAGTAGTATCCTGTATTTCTATAATAGTCTGTATCAAAGCAATAAATATTAGATATAATCTGTATATTAGATTTCATATTTATCTGATAGCTATTTAAATCTACACTGTCAAAAATATAAGCAGTGACCCACTCCTACATGGCAGCATATACTATTTCTGTGAATGTGTTAAAACTATCACATGGGTCTATATTTACATAGGACACTCTTGTTTATATAGCAGATTTTCATTTACATAAATTCTTACCATAGGCTAGATAGTTGTATAAAGCTTGGATATTGTTTAAATGTTTCTGTGGTTCTGCATAATTGCATTTCAGCATCAGGATTTCATCATTCTGTCTCAGTTTTATGTTTTTTAAGGATAGAAAATGGAATCTGAGAGACTTAAAAAATCTCAAATAATATTATACCAATATAACACGAATACTTATTTTCAAGTCCAGGCAAAAATTCGTTTCACTGTTCCTAACCTTTTTCCTTTATGCATATATATCTCTTTAAAGAAACTGCACTCCTGAAAACAAGGGCAATCAAAATGTTTTGGCATTGCTGAGATGTGGAAGAGTATTTCAGCTGAACTTGATCTGCAGAAAAACCATCATACATTTTTTAATTAACAATTACTACAATCTAGGTGTGCAAATTAAAAACTTACATGTGAAACAGCAAAATAAGCTGAAATTGCTGCTGGTATATACATGAGTAGTTCTGTCTCAGTTTGCTCAAAAATCTTTGTTAATTCCTACCATTTAGCTTCTCAGATATTAAAAGATATAATGGAAATTTGTTCATTTTCACTGGGGTGAAAATGTCTGGTTATTTACCTGTGTAAAAAGCAAATAATTGTTATTTTCTGCACCTCTAATTTCAGAAACTCAGTTAAAAATATAAAGGTTAAAAAATATTTTAATAAAGATATTTAGAATGCTTACAACAATCAGATAACAATTTATGAGTTCAGAGAACATCCAGGTATTGTCCTTTGAATTAAATACTGAATTCCCTTTGCAAAAGTTGCAAAAGATACTTACTTCTCAGATAATTATTTCTGTGGCCATCCAGCAGAAGTCAGTATCATTTTGTTACTAAACATCAGTTAGTGTTCATCAAAGACAGAATGCACTTGCTTGTCTTCCCTTTATCCTAATGTCACACTGGAAAACCCTATATTAATAAAAAAGCCCTTGAAAATTGAAAAATATGTAATGCTTTATATAGTAAGTAACATATAGCTGTTACTGACTGTTCTTGCCAGCACTGCCTTTCTTCAGACAGGCTCAAGAGCTGACATTGCTTTCCCTTTCACCTATACCAGTTCTGCCATAAAAGGATGACTATTAACAAGTCTCCTTCCTGCATTAAGCAGTCCAAAGATTTCTAACCAGACATCCAGTAATTTTTGCCTACGTTTTTTTTCCTTACTGTGTAATCCAGGATGCCAAGAATCTGTGGTTGCATTGGAACACTTCTTTTAGAAAGGTATCTAATACTAACAAGACTTCTAGCAAATGATTAATTTACTCTTCAACTTATGCCAGGGCAGTTTTTGATGATTAACACTCATGTCAGGCAGTCTCTATCAGCTCCTTTATGGAAACATAAACAGTGCTTGATATCAATTCTAAGGGAAGAATCAACTCCCATTTCCTTTTTGTGTCTTTGTTAAAGCTAAAACCAAACAGATAAAAGCTTATACTTGGTTATGACTGGAAAAAAGTACTCTTTATAGCTATGTAAAATGACTGAAGAACCTTAATCTGTAATGGAGTCTTTACAGATGGGAGTAGTTTTGACCTAAAAGCAGTGCTTTTGTGTCTGAAAGGCTACAGGAATGTTTCTGGAAAAAAAATCTTATTTTTTTGTGTTGGACAAAATACATTCATCATAAAATCAACCAAAGGGACAGATTCTAAATCCTATTTAGCAATAAATCTGTACTTGCAACCTGTAATCCTGTGTTTAAACTACTAAAAGAAAAACAAGCCATTCTTTTACTTTCTAATACTATGTAATAATACAAATATTATAGGGAAAATGTATTATACAGGTGTGTTTTCCCAAAATGTGTACTTTGCAAAAAAGATCTCTTCCTCAAAAAAAACCCAAGTCACAAGTTGCTAAGTGTGTTTATGCAGAATGCTCAATAACACATATTTAAAGTAGAGTACCACATTATAATAAGTCTGAATAAATGAGTAGCTCCATCAGTTTGTACCCATATAAGTCAAGCCTAACAGCACTGGAAATATAAATTAATCAAGTTAAATATTTGAGAAAGTATCTTCTTTTTAGCTGTGAAGTGAACAAGAGTATTCAACTGTTTCTGCCCATGCACATTTCTCATAATTAGAATGCAACCATCTTATCATGGACAGAAAATCCCCAGATTAGAAAAGATATATTTAAAAAATATTAAAATGGATACTCAGTGCTGAATCTTCCTATGATTGGCTTCAAAGGCTGATTTGAATTAAAGTTCCTAAATCCTTTTTTCATTCTTGCTTCACTACTACCTACTACAAAACAGTGTGAAGACAGTTATTATTGAGACATTAATTCTCCCAGAATATACCCAAATACCTTCCTTCAAACCTTTTTCTTCATAATTTATATTAGTTTTAAATCTACTATGAAAATAGTAGTGCAAGAAAAATCAATTAGAAATTCTTCAGATAAATGGTTTAGTTCCTTTTAGGATAAAGATGCAGAGGAATACCGATGAAAAATATGCTAGTTATGATGCTTTCTTTGTTAAGACTCCTTTACATCCCAAATCAATTCTTCACTCCACATTCCTGTATTTGGTAAATAAGTTGTACAGTACTCTCAGTGTGGACTTCAAGTCACAATTTACAATATCTAGAAAAAAAGACAAGGGAAAAAAAACATTAGTAACTTCATTAGCTCAAAAAAATTCAGAAATGTCTGTTCCCTACTCCCTTTCCTTGTTCAGATTGATATCCATGAACATTCGAATCACGAAGATAGTAAGAAAGAGGAGAAAGATAAATAAAGCACAGTTTTTAAACTGGCAATTCAAAAAATGTTATTTCAACCACTTTTAGTTAGGGATACAAATGGCTCATGCTGCTGATGAAGAAATGCAACCAAGGTTTAGATGCCCACAACATAAATTATGTCTAGGATTATGTATATTTATATGACTGAATCTTCAGTTGGTTGTGACTGAAAAATAATGATTTTGAAAAAATACCGGGCAGGAACCGATGGAACTCTTCTCTTATGTGAGAACTGCAGGACTTGTCCCATTCTGGGCTGCAACATCCTTCTTTATTAGACCTAATTTCAGCAAGATAGCTAGAGTAAGTTTAAATTTTCTAAAGGATCAAAAGAAGCTAGGTATACAAGTGCCCCTCGAAGACACTTCTGAAAATGCTTTGGATTAGCTGATGTACATGTCTGAATGAGTCCTCAGAAACTCAACATCTAAAGTAAAGGACTTATAGGAAAGAAAAAGCTAATGAATACCTGCTGTTTCCAAGAGAAGTTGTTGAGAAAGTCAATAATATTTCACCAGAAATCTATAAAACAAACTGACAAGTACTACTGCAGCAGTCTATGCTAGTGCTTCAAGGAATAGTCAATCTCAAACAGGGACCCAGAATTGCCCTCAGAAAGAACAGAGAAGAATTGGAAAGAAAAGAATTAGAATAGTCCTTTTTCTTTCTTTTGACTGTATAGGAACTCAGTCTCCTAACTTCAGTTCTTGGAATTGGCCATGAAGGTGTAAAGCAGGTGCATACTCCCACTATCTTCAAAACCTCCAAGTAAGCCTTGTAAATTGTGTATGTAATCATCAGACATTTTTGCCATTGTATTTATCTACAGTAATGTTTCTCACAGATTGTGGAGGGTTTATACTTTGAAGAATGAATCCAGTAAAACCTATGCATGGTGACCCAAGCTATGCAAACTTTCAAGGGCTAAAGATATTAGCTGCATGGCAAACTGACATCCCTGGACAAAGGGTGAAAACAATCAAAGCCAGATTTTATGCTGAGACGATGCATAGTCATGGAACCACAGGCACATGGTTTTGTGGCTCTTAGTTAGATAAAAAATTATTGGAATAAAATGAAGAGAAAATGCCAAAAGCAACACAAAAGATACCTTGCTCCCACAACATCATGTTATATATAAAGAGTATTGCAGGATATAACTCAGGAGTTTACTCTTTTGGGCCAACAGTGAGTTGTAACACCTTCATTTTGCAACACAGAAGTTCAAATTAATAAAGACATAACTTTGACAGGTCTTTGCAAAGTTACCAGAAGACTCCACCACTACAACAGGATTCCACAGAAAGGTCCAAACTAAAAAAAGCAAGCTCTCAGAGAATGATGAGTTATTTCCATTGCTACATGTGTTTGACCAACATGTATAACATTTTACTGGTTGCAATTTTCAAAAAGAGAAACTTGAGTTTGGCTTTGAGGTACACATTTCAAAAAGTAATCTGAAAAAGCTCAAATTGCAAATGAATTCATTACAGACTCAGTAGATTAATGTTCTGGCCATTTTTAAAGCAAAAGGTCACGGAAAGCTTTTTAATACCTTTTCAATTATATTGCAAATAACCCAAATAAACTGTTGACCCCATAAAAATCATTGGTTTTCATACTCATTTATTTAACCGCATTCTTTTTTCCACTAAATATGTTTTTCATATTCTAAAGCACTTTTCAGCATATTTTTTCCTCAAGAACCTCAAAGAAACAGTGTAGGAATTTAAGGAGTATTTAGTATACACATTTAGGGTAAGATCCTTTTCAATACTCTTTTGCTCACTGGAAATTTTAAGTACGGGCATTGTGCCCAATGTAACAACACATAAAACAGATGTGTTTTTCCATTCACATTGGGCAGGAAGTTTCATATTAAGCATTTCAGTAATTGCACGAGAAATGTCTTATATATGCTGAAATATCCTTATGGCTTGATTTATACTGGAAAAATTAGCTGTCCCCTAGAGCAATAAATACCTGAAAAATTAAATGCCGTAAGAATTTTAAACCTCCATGGGGAGTACGGGATCACAGATACTCTCTGTTTTACTTGGATCCCTAGATTTCACTATTTCCCCCTTTTTTCTTTGACTACTTCAAACATAAAAGTTTGGGATACAGTTACCGCATGTTTAATTAAAGATGATTGTGGATAAGAGATAAAGCAATCAAAAGAAGCAAAAAATCAGGCTGGATAGGTCCAGATTAAATGCATAGGCAGTGTCGGCTCAATCCTGAGATACACTTTTTGTGTGTGTTGCTGTTATGATCTGGAAGTTGGGAGGGATGGAAAATAAGCAGAACGGAGCAGAACTTGATTCAGTAATGTGTGCCTGAATCTCCAAAGAGCCCTTATTGTTAGAAATAAAACTCCTGAGCATTAGCTTGTATCAACTCCTCAGGGAACGACAATCCAGTATTATGGCAGGAAAAGACTGTGTGCACCATAGAAAATGAATTTGCAATAGGTCTTGAAAACGTATATATTGATCATTATGATAGGTAACCAGCAGAAGCCTAGCTACCATCCCTGTTGGGAAGAGTGGAGCAGAAGCTGCATGTCCAGCTCCTGCATGGTAACAAGAGGTAACTTGCCATGGGAGGAACGACAAGAGTACCCTGTAACATGGTGAATTGAGGGCCCTATATCCAGCCCAAAAAGCTGGATTTAAGCCCTGTATTTATATGAGCAACGAGAAGTGGAATCCTGGTCCTGCTAAAGTCAGCAGCAAAACCTTCATCTTCCTTGAAGACACATTTTATTTTCAGTCTCCAGCTCTAAATCTAATTTAAATATACACACATTATTAGGTCCTAGGCTCAAAGCAGTTACATGCACATTTGAAATTCTTCTTCCACAACAGCTACCTCTTTTGTGAAAATCTTGTAAATTACACTGAAATACTTGAGGTTTCATAAGAAGATGTGAGATGGGGAAAAATGGAGCAATTGGAGCAATTCATATGTGCCAGTGACACCATTCACAATTGTATTCTTTTTCTTTCAGTGAATATCTGAGTATTAGTGCACATGTTTGGTCACACAGATCTTACCCTGGCCATTCAAGAAAGGAAGCCCTGCAACATCTGGAAGATCGTATCTATCAGCCATTTAAAGTACAGAGTTGCCTTTCACTCTTGGATTAATGTTTTAACCTTCATTTAGCTATGCCATAATCCTATGAGATAAGATCTGGATCCAATGTAAATTTTTAAGACACGAAAAAGTAGAATAGATACCTTCTGGTCTTGGCTTTGGTTTTTCCAATCCACCATCTTGCATTAGCTCAAACGCAAAAGATACATTGAGGACCTAGTAATACAATAAAGGTACTCATTATTGTGAACTATACACAGTATAGTATAAATGGTCAAAACAAAATATATTTAAAGCTGCAGACCCAGATGCTTGGAAGGGAAAAACAGAGCTGTGTATATCACTGGAAAATCTGGTCCATGAAATCCAAACAATCCATTGTTTTGCTTTTTCTGGGTGGTGATGGTGATTTCAGAAAGATAAAAGTAACTGAAAATAACATGTGAACTAATACTACCCATAGAAAAATTACTTACAAGTAAGAATAGCCCGCCTCCCACAAGTTTAAAAATTGGAACATGATGGCCCATAAAGTGCTTGTCTTGAATAAACAGCTGAATTGCCTGGATAGCAACAGACAGTGGGGTAATGGTTGGTCTTTAAATGATACATAGTACATATATGCCTTTATGCTTCCAAAAAACATGAAACCTTTAAAATGTTAAATTCCTGGATTTTGGACACAACAACTCAGATGTGTCATCAATTCATGTGTATAATTCTTTATGCACTGAATGAACAGTATGCTGGGTTCAATGACAGCATCACACAATGGCTGTCAAAATCAGTTAATACTTGCTAACCATCCCATTATTAATATAATTTTCTCTTTTATTCTGGATAAGCATTAATACTGAATCTTAAAAATGCTTGGAAACAGTTACCAGTACACTCCTCTCTTGACTTCAGCTATTTACATCAAACTTATGCAGAAAAATTTGTCATCTTTGTATTACTAGTAGTGTTTACATGTTTATTTGTTTTTAAAAGAAAAATTAAATCTAATTACCTTTTGTTCAAAACCATCAGGAGTCAAGAAAAAGCTGTGCAGAGGAACAAAATAGCCTTCTAGGAGACCCATTAGCAGAACTAAGTACACACCATCTGCAAACTGTAAAAAAGACATTTCTCAGTACATTTTCTGAAGAATAATTCATTCCTTTGCCTAATGAACAAGATCTATATTGTCTATGGCAGAACTGTCACCAGACTACTAATACAAATGTTTTAAATCGCAACTAAAAGATCTCATCTCACTTCTTTCATTCCTTTTATTTTGTTAGTACGTTCCATTATGTCTTCTCCAAAACTGACCTACACGCAGAATAAAGTTCTTGGAAAGAGAGGTTGTCAGTGCCTTTGATCTATGCCGTTGTTTTCTGTTCTACTAGTTGTGAAGAACCAGAATAGCCACCTTTCAAGCTCTCAAATGGCATGCGTTCCCTGAGCAGAGAAAAGCAGAATGAAGAAGGTGAAATCTCATGACTGCACTGAAATTCAGCATATTGGAGGAAATAAAGGAACAAAGAATCATCTTTGTCCACGTTCTGCAAGTCTGAGTCAATCTGATTTTAAGTGTATGTAATTACAGAGGGAAGATATCTAATTGCTATGACATATGTTAATTTCTATCTAAAAAAATAGCAAGATCCATAAGATTTCGTTAAAGGATTCTCACTCTTGCCTCTGTGGCATCAGGTCTATCAGTGCACTGAGATATCCTCACAATCAAACCGAGTTATCTGAAGCAACCCATCACCTTCTTGAGGTAGATAATTTACTTTCAGCTGACAGAAACACAATCTCTCATTTTAGGGAATACTGTTTCAGATAAATGCTTAAGGGGTTTCCAGGTACATTTGAATACTACATTTTTGCCAAAAGTAAACAATGCAATAAGCGGGCATAGGGAACACCTTTCTGAAAGCCCTTACACATTATTTCCATATAAAATCTTACTTTTACCTTTGAAAAATCTCTATCAGATTGACAGTTATTTAAATAAACCCAAGATTTTTAATAACATGAATCAAGACATAAAATAAAGCCTTTCCTGAAGACACCTGGGATTTTTTTGATAGTGGAGATATCATCCTTCCTGCCTGACCCTGTAATTTTCTTATAACTGCTTCAGATTTCACATGGGGAGGTATTAATACAGCAGTATTAAGTTTTTCTTTTAGCTTCTTTCCAGTCAATTTGACAGCTGAGAACAAGACAGAAGACCATGTATCACATTATTTCTGTGGTGCAATCAAGCCCACAGCCCAACTGTACAGCTGCCTGTGCATAGCTTTACTCTCAAGAACGTATCTCACTGAATAGTCATTGTAATCCCATGTGATCGCATGCTCGTGTCAAGGTAGGCAGGGAACAACTGTTAAGCTTGACATTAAACCAAGCGGACAGAGTTCTTTTCTGACCAAAACAAGCACAGGTTCTGCTTACAGCACTTGGCAGCATGCAAGAGGTATCATCTGTTAATTAATTTTTATGTTAATAGAAGTATAAAACTGTTTCTAGATACATCTATCTGCCCTCATGACTTCTCTGCTTAATTGGCAAGGGTCTTCTTCATATGAACATATTTAGAATTGAAGGGTTTCCTGCTGAAACATCTTAGAGCTCAGTCAAGAATAATTCAATGAAATTTCTAGATAAAATTGGCAGCATAGTGCATAACATAGTGTAACCATCCCTCCTCTTTTAGAAAGGCTTTAAAATCCTACCTGGGTCTCCAGTTCAGTGACCTCCAAATTCAATTTATTGAGATGCTTGTTCACAAAGGTGATGAGAGTCTGAAATATGAAAACAATGCAGTGAAGGCAGTAGGGCAGCAGTTCAATGCAGTTCAATGCAAGCAGTATGAACTCCACTCAGAATAGAATCTGCATGAGTGAAGAGACTGCAGCACAATTTTTAAGTTTTAAAACTGCTATGTGACATAAAAAAAATCTTTTTTTTTCAAGAGTGAAGAATAGAAATAAAATGCATGTGATGCATATAAATAAAAATACACTGTTAAAACATAATAATTCTTTAAAAACACCTTATAGCAGACTATAGGGAAGTAGGTAATTGAACTCCACACAAATCTGACAGCAGTCAAAATACTCTAGGTCAGATCCCTGGCAGTTGCAAACTGGATACTTCTTTGGCATCAATACACTCAATTTACCAGTTGGGTTCTACTCAGCATATGCTTTGTGAGAACTTCTTTTTGATGGAAACTTCGATAACTACATGTTGTTCTGTGTTCCAAAGTTAAGTTCATGCTGCTAAATATTAATAAAAAGTAACATTACAATCATGAATTTGTATATTAGTTGAAGCATAATGCTTAATTTTATTTAATGTGTGAAAACTATGCCAGTTATATATTATATGCATACACACCCATTACATATATACAAACAGATACACACAAGCATGCACATGCACACATTATGTATTTTAAAAATAAAAACCTTCCAACCTTTTTCACTACATTGAGCTTATCTGGAGCATGGTCAAATAAAGTATCAAAGGCATCTCTTTCTGAAAAACATTTGAAGATGTTAATACACTAAGCAGCAGTAAAACACTTATTAAAGCATACACTTATTTAAGACAACAGGGTCAGCAAAAGGTTTCAATATAGTCTCTTTGCACCCTAAGCATCATGTATTTTGCATACTGCTCTCTTGCTATAAGCTGCTGGTAACTTATTCTCTATTATTTACAAAAAGCAAAATGTCCAAGTAGGATTTGGATTACCTAATAACCCTTTGTCTCAAAAATGAATGAAGAATGGTATCTTTATGCATAAAACCTTAAACATACAGGGAGCTATGTAACCAAATCATTGTGTGCAGAAGAATATGAGTTTACATCTAGAGTCACTACATCTACAGAGGAAGATTTTCCCCATGGGCCACGGACTGCACTGTTGTGTGCTATATCATTAATCACCTCAAGCAAGCTTATGATTACACAGCTGCAATACAATCCTTTGTACAGAAGTTTTTGGGCATTCTTATATGCAATCTAGGACATTATCAGAAGGACAGGCAACCTAGGGTAGCACAACTGGAGTGCTACTGTAGTCACCTTCTGAAGTAAACAAACAAAAAAAAATTAAAAGGCACCACAGCCTTTTCTGAGCAATTTCCATTTCAACAATCACCTGAATGATACCGAATGACTCCACAAAAAGCTACATTCATATTCCTCAGTAAAAAAATTCTAGAGTAGAATTTGTAGAAGGCAGACTCTGTACAAAGTAAGACTGCTCAGGGATATCACTGGGAAAAGAGGTCATGCATGTAGCTCGGGAGGGACTTTTTACAAAGGCAGGTAGTGATAGAACAAGGGGTAATGGCTTTAAACTGAAAGAGGGTAGGTTTAGATGAGATATTAGGAAGAAATTCTTTACTGTGAGGGTGGTCAGACACTGGAACAGGTTGCCCAAGGAAGTTGTTGATGCTCCTCCCTGGAAGTGTTGAAGGCCAGGCTGGATGAGGCTTTGAGCAACCTGATCTAGTGGAGGGTGTCCCTGCTGATGGCAGGGGGGTTGGAACTAGATGATCTTTAAGGTTCCTTCCAACCCAAACCATTCTATGATTCTATAATTCTATGATTCTATGTAGCCTTTTAAAACAGCTGTAAGGCAGCCATTGAAATAATACAAGAAGCAAAAGCTAAACTCTTGGTGGGACTCCACCTAAGTTCCTCAGGTGAGTGTTTTCTGCTGCCCAGGCATTTGGCCAGTCTCAATACTAGCAGTAAGACCTACTAGGCACAGGAACTTGCATGGTGTTTAGGTTTGCTGAATAATAACTCAAAGTCATTAAAGTGTAATTAGGTAATATATGCAAGAATGCCAACGAGTTCACCAGCTGGTTTATGATAAGACCTCATTTCATCTTATGCTGGGAACTTACGATCATTAATACTATTACAGTAATATTCTGGAGGTTAAACCACAAAGCATCTGCAAATTAACACGTGCTGAAAAGTAATGAGATGTGTTTTAAAGGTGGTCAGACGCATTTTAATGCTTTTTTCCTTTTGTTAACTGCCACAATAGCCTATGGTGCATATATCTGCCAGGGCAAATTGAAATCCTCTACTTCCTCACAGTTTGATCAGTGACCACCCATCACAGAACTAATGTATACTTTGGCCGCCTCAAAAAAAAAGATAATAACCAAATGAACTTACCATGCCTTCCTGAGAATGCCCTGTGAAAGAAAAAAAAAACACAAAAAGAAAAAAACCCCACAGTTATATACAGTTCACTTGCAGATATTGTGATACAAAAGAAAACAGCATACGTGGCAGATCTTCAGGTTGGTGAAAACTGCATAGATCCATGAAATTACGAAAACCTTCATCAAGTTACTCCAACTGAGAATCTAGATTAGTCTGAAGTCCATCAGTATAGTATCTCCTGGCTTCACTAAAGTCTCATGGGAGGCCAGATCTCAGATTTCCTACTATTGAACCAAATCAACACACCTTGCCGGAGTGAAGAAGACTTTTTCATGTTGATTCTGTGAACACTTTTCCTTTTGCTTTAAGGATGAATTTACCACACCAACTACAATACAATTCCGGCCAAAACAATGCTTGGATTGCATTCTTAAGGACTGCAGCATTTTGCTCCAGTTGATCCCTCATATAACTATTACATGTAAACAAATCCATAAACACTAATAATAAGCTTTGCTCCATTCTATTAAAAACTGGGATATTCTACTATTGCTTTCTGTTGGTTTGGAGTAACTTTTCTGTTATAAATTGTTCAGTGAGATGACATATACAGGGCAAAATACTGTCATTTTACATACACCAAGTCCAAACACCTAAAAATAGTCTTATCACATTATTTTCTGAAAGAATCTAGTTTTCTAACAAATAAATACCAACATAAAAGAATGGGGTATATCTTTCTTGTTTGGTTGAAGGTCTTCTGAATAAAATAATAGGAAATATAATAAATATAAAAATAAATTAATAGTAGATAAATATAAAATAGATATTTTGTATATCTGCACTCTGTTGTTCCTTTCATCCTAGTCTCCTGCTTTTAGTTCCCCATCTCCGTATTTCCTCACTCTATTGTGTTTTTAGATGCGTGTCTGCAGCCCTCAAAAAGGCTAAAATACAGTCACTGGCTGATGCATCATCCTCCTTGGAACCCCAATACCAAAATCTAAATATCAGCAAATGTTTGAATTTCTGAGACGCATCTGTTTTCAATTACTGAACTGCTGGCAAAAGTGGTGTTGACATACTCAGTGTTACCAGTTATTTCCTCTTGGATTTGTCGAGACTGGAGGATTCCTTCTCTTTTCTGGAAAAAACAAAAAAGTGACATTTTTCTCAGTAAAGTTTAATGCTTAGGGTACAGTAAAAATTCATTTATGATTCACAAACATAATTAGATAAGAAACCTGCAAAAAAAGAACTTTTAAAAACAAATTTACAGTAATATATTATTTCACCTTGCCAGTATTTCAGAAAACTCTTTTGTACATTAACAAGAAACTTGAAACTCCACCTGTACAAGGAAGTATTTCTTTTCCTTTCTCCATTGTTCTTAATTCACTTTTCTTTTAAAGGCCCCAATTCAGCAAGACTTTTGAAACACCTAAACACATATGTAAGTATTTTAGTAGAGGTATGTCTAGGTGAGTTGAATTAAACCTTGTATTTCAATGAACAACTTGGCAGACAGTGCCCATGCTTCTCTTTTGCAAGAATCTTGCTCCCAGGCTATCTGTTCTTTCTGCCCTGTTCACACACTTTTTTTTTTTGCCCCAGTGTTTTCTTTTTCTGACTTCTATTTCAGGTCTATTTGCTTGTGATGAGAAACCAAAAGAGAGGATAATCCATTCACACCCTGCTCCAGCGACTAGTCACCTTGGTGTTAACTTCATTACATTGACTTCAGTGTTCTTCAGACATAAGAAGCCCTTTGTACATGATGGTGAGTGGCCTGTGTTTAGAAGCTGTATGCAAAATGGCAGAGGCCAACTCGAATGGTTACTATTTGAGTCAGTTGGAAAATGAAGGAGTTTAAAACTTTGACATTGTTTCCAGGATGCTGATTGCAGTCATCTGGTGGCGGTGTAAATACCGCACATATGTTTTGCCTCTCTTTGTGTTCTGTTAATTCTATTCAGTGAAATTAGTGAAATTTTGCAATACAGAAGGAAAAGTCAGGCAAATGCTGACAACTGCATGTAAAGTCTAGACGGTAGGCAATTATTCATGATTCTTCACTCCCTGTCATACAAGGAAATAAGAAAAATAAATTTATGCTGGTCCTAGACTTGCCTTCTATGTGGAAAAGAGAAAAGGAGACTAACCTATGTATTGTTGCTATCTATCTCATCTGAAGGATCATGTTTTATAATTGCCCCAACAAGATGAAATGTAGAACTATTCTGGAGCTTGAAGGGACAAATACATTTGTCAAAGGTTCAAAAAAAAGATTTCTTGGGAACGCGGAGACAATCCTACTCAGAAACATTTCAGACATTCCCAGGGCTCTCAGAGAGGCAGTGGGACCAATGATCTCAGATTAAGCTTTTGATGAGCACCTTCTTCTAATCTCATTAGTTTCCTAGCTTTGCTTAATTGTAGTTTATGCACCCAAGAATTGCTGTCCCAGAGCTCAGAATATGCTCCAGCCATTTTTGCTTCTCTGCCAATGCATTCTTTTACTCTCTGGCCTACAGCTCTTGCACACAAACAATCTGTCATTTACCCATTTGTGGACGGCATAAAAATTTTTTAAAAAGAGACAAAATGATGGCAAGTGATGGCTCTCCACAAAAGCTCTTACCTGTTTCTGCAGAAATGATCAAACAAAGCCTGGGCTTTGTTCAATGTTACTAATTCTATTAGTATGGAAGGAAAAGAAAATAATTTTATGTGTTTCTAAACATAACAAAATCATGAAATTAATTAGGGTAGTCTTCCTTAGAAACTTCATAAAAGTACTTAATTCTTTTATTTCTCTCTCTCTACTATTCCCTCTATCAAACTGTACAGCACTTAAAATTAGCTACCTCATAGTCTGTTGAGTTTGCCTAGGCATGACCTTACTTTACAGAATGTATGAGGGTTCAGAACATGAGGCATGCAAGTTTGAACACTAAATTAGGCTTTAGGATCTGCTGATTGTTGATTAAAACTTGCATTGAGTTCAAAGGGTACATGACGAATTATATAGAACCAATCCCATAGGATATGAAAGATAGATTTAAAAAATAAAAATAAAAAATCCATCCACCATAAAATAAAAATGAAAAATGTCTCAAACACAATTACAGTAAGAATACTGACCCTCACCCTATGTTAACAGGAATCAGCACAGCCTTGGAGTTCCACTGATTGGCTTTTACAAAGAACTGCGTCTGCAGGGTGAAACCTTCTGCAACATTATTTGGATTTTATTCTGATGCAACTGCTTTCTCTGCAATTCACTGGCGCCTGAGCTACAGCTGGAAGCTAAGAGGCAAAGCAATGACACAGACCCTCGCACTACTTACTCTTTTAAAATTGGTTTATCTCTACCTATTAAACAAGAGAACAATTACGTCCATTGATTTCACAGGAATTTTGTCTGGACATACAGAGTAACAGCAGAATGCATCTTTATTTTAGGACTGTGGTCTTTTTCTGGTTTAGTTTTTCATCCCAAAGATGCCCTGACTGCTGCACTCCTGGATTTCTTAAGCTGGTTTTGGTAGAACTTTGAGATAAACCAGTGTAATTAATATATTTATAACAGTCAAAGGTTAGTGCTTGAAACTTATGTTCCTCTGAAGGCTCAGACACCTAAGTGCAGATTTCCTGGGGTTCTCTTTCATCATCTATAAAGAAACCCACAAAGCAGAATCTGAGAGTCAATGAGTCATTATCAGGCATCAGTGATATATCTACCAGAGACTCTCCTTCAAATTTCTCCCCAAATTACAAAACTTGACTGATCTGAATGCTGGAAAAAGGAGTAGTTATTTTCTCAGATCTGTCCCACAGATTTTCGGTCACACAAAACTTGAGCAATAGCTCTTTGCACCAGATACTTCAGGGTAACAACAGCTAAAACACATAAATAACGACACAGTGTGAAAAATAAAGGCAAAGTTAATTGGAGAGAAAGAAAAGCAGATTAAATGGGAAGAGGTCAAATAAGATAGAACAAGCGCAAGTCCAACTGAAAGAAAAATGATGAACAGAATAATATGAAGAGCTTGGATGGATGAGGCTCTAATAAGGAGACTGACTGACACAAAAGATTTAGTTGACGGGTATTTTTTGCATGCTTATGAGAAAGCCAACATTGTGATCAGACTAAATTAGCATGCACAAGGCTGAAAAAGAATAGTCATCTAACATGAATCTGAATGTAATAAACAGTGACAATTCATCATTCAGTGCCAAGAATGATTTGAATCTCTAAACAAGTGAGAATACCATCAAAAATGGGAAAAATAATAATTCTAGAGATCATATTGGGTGATAAACAAACACATTCCAACAATAATAATGCTTCATATATTTTTAATGTCAGAGTCTGGCCACTTCACAATCAAAATAAGATATTCTGAGCCACAGCTCAATCTGGGAAAGCACTTCTGCCTTTCTCTGGTTGAAGCATTGTCAGCAGGGAAGACACACGTGTGTTTCTTGTCAGCCAAAAAGACACACGCATGCTCGCCCAAACAGAAACTCTAAATGTATTTTTCAAGAAAACCCTCAATCAATTTCACAACACTACCAAGAGCAGTTTAACACCTCTCTTACCTGCACAACAACAACCTGAATGGACACATGATCTGGAAGTCTGATTGGTGCTCGAAAATACTGTGATAATGCAACCAGAAGATGAAGTATCGCTACAAGACTTTTAGCGTGAACAGCTGAAATAGATATCAAAAGCGTAAATTACAAACTGCAAGGTAACTGAGGCACATATTTTTACTTTTAAAGATGTGACGGATATGGGACTCTTTTCCTCTTGCTACCTGAAGCCAGGGGGCACTTTTAAGGCACCTCTCCTTTACTGGTCTCCTCGTGCTCAACAGGTCATGTGAATGCAGCCCAGTCAGTAATATGCGTCAGCACCAAAGCGTTACTTTATGCAACGTGTCTGGATGCCATAGGCTTGTGCAGATGGAAATCTAAAGCTAATCCAAAAGCCAGATTTCATGTACGGCAGTTTAAGTGCTGTCTCTGCATTCTCCCAGCCTTTCCTTTATTCCCTTTATTTCAGTAAGGATTTATGGACTATCAGAAAGATATTTTTGTACTCATAACATGCACTTACTCATTTTTAAGTGTCACAGTGTCTGCAGGATGATAAACGAGCCTATTTTGGCAGAAGCCTTAAGCAATAACTTACTAAACTCAATGACTCAAACATTCCTCATGAAGTTGTTATAGTTCTTGTTATTGAAGCTTTTTCACAGCAGGTTTCATATGGGTAGTTAACACTAACATAACTTACAAGATATCAAAAGCCATACTGTAGGAAATCCTTAATCAAGTATCAAACCATTGGCATGAAAGTGAACAATTTCTAGTTCTTATTAGTGCATTTCTTCTTCTTCTTCTACTTAGTTTTTGCATTTACAGTCTTCCCCAGAGGACTATTCCTAAATGATCTTTGATAGCTACAGTACAGTGCACTTACTTTTTTTATACTTGAACTAATCAATAACTACTACCTTATTTCACTGATAAAGCAGGATCAGATTCACTAAAATATCCTTCTTCATTACCTTCCAATACAAGTCTCACCTATGCCGTGGAGATACTCATTAATATAAAATGCAGCATTGCTGTCAAGTTTTGCTGGGGTGCCAGTGCTCATGGATGAGGTGCTTTAGCAGAACACTAAAAGGATGTCTGTCTGCCTAGCACCAGTGTGTGCTACAGCTGGCTCCAGCTGCTGCTCTCTATCTCTACTTTAGTTCTAAAACACATGTAAAACATTAAATTAAAACTAAAAGTTAAATTGTCAGGCCACTCCAAACACCCTGCCTCCAGCTGCGTAACAGAGAATGGAAAAAATCTGGGGGGAGGCTGAAGAGAGATGGGGACAGAAAACTCAGTGGCACCACATGAAGGAGAAAGCCAGAGATGCCTAAAGTTCACTCTTCCTCCCTTGAGCTATTTCTCACCCTCTCACTGATTTCTTGTGAATGGAATGGGATGCAAAACAGCTCAGCTCAAGACAGGTATAGGAGACAGAGAAACTGCTATATACTCGTCAAGGTATTCACCAGTGTGAAATGATTCTGGATACCAAACTTTAAACAGATTAAGAGGCCTGATTTCCTAAAGCTGCTGATAGCCTGCTTTCTGCAACACATAAGCACTAATATGTCTTGTGTTGGGTCACTGAAAGCACTTCTATTAGATATTATTGTGTTCATTTTTAATACAATAAAACAGGAAGGGTGCAGTCTTAATCTCCATGAGAGATTTGTAATCAAAATCAGTGGTTCAGATTTAGCCTTAAATGATCAGAAATATTATTCATATCTATGTTGCAAATTTTACACAAATAAAGAGTCCTCAGACCTAACTCTCCTTCTGCTTATCTACTACATTTATGCAGGTACTTGCTCATTTCAACAGACCAATTTAGTAACAGAAAATTTAAGATGGTAAGTATATGGACTTAAGAGCAGAAATACTTTGACAAACTCCGAAAAGACAGTTTATTTAAACTGGAGATTGAACACCAGTAAAGAGGGCAGAGTGTACCACATCTGGAAGTGTCCTGCCGAGCAGCTCCTACCACAAATACCAGGTTTCAGCCTTCCCTTATCATTGGATATTTCAGAATTCAAGACAGCAGCTCTAAACTCTCAGCTGCCAACAAATGGGAACAGCATAGAAAACACAACTTACAGTCAACGTTCCATTTAATGCTTCTTGGAGGGAGTTTAAGGGTTTCATTGATCTTTTCAAGCACTGTTTGTAGCTTCTGTTTCTGAGCAATTTCAGACTGAGTAACTTCAGCAACATTCAGCTTCTCACTTTCAAGTTTCTCTGAAGTGATAATAGAAGAAAAAAACAGAAGAGAAACCATTGTCAACTCCATGAAGAACACAAAAGATGTCCCATGCATCCAGATGTACATCCAAGGGATATGAGACTTCCTAGTTTTAAAATTATCTGCTTTTCCTTTCAGAGACACTTCCCCCCACACTTCTAAACTCCTAAAGACAGAGCTCACATTTTCCCTTTATTTAGGCATTGCCAAGGGGAAGGCAAAGTGTTAATGAAAACCACACTACTGTCTAAAATATATTTGCTGCAACTCCCTTTAGGGAACACCAGACTTGGAGGCAAGGCCCATTACTTCTATTGCTACTGGATCAAGGGTATTCTGTATGCAAGTAGCTTGTACATCAGACCATCAAATCTATGAAACAGTTATCAACTTTAAGATGTGTTTCATCAGATTCAGCCTCCCGGCTTCTACCTCAGACTCAGGACATTGAAAAATTTTACTTGACCCATTTGTGATAAAAGTGAAGATTCATTCATAGAGGTGGAGGATGCACCCAAGAAATGCCAACAAGTATTTCTGGAGGTATGAAAACAACTAAAACCTTGGGCAATTTCTTTCTATGAAACCACAGCCCTTTTCTGCACTCAAAATTTGCAGTAGATTTTATAATACTCTATGAATTGGTTTGCTAATAATAGTAAAGATTGCTAGGTATATACATACACGGCTTAGTGTTTACCATTAAGTAGTAAGCAAAGAAAATGCAGTAAAAGCTCCCTAATAACAACATCATAAACAAAATGCTTGGTTTTCTACCACTTTACTTGTTCTCACCAAAGCCAACTGAGTATCTTCCCAAAAAGAGTGAGCCTGAACTACCAGCCTATGAATCCTGCCTAAGAGACTGCTACCTCCACGGGCTTCTTGTTTCTCCACAGCAAACAGTCTGTGCATAGTCTCACAAGAGCAAAGCCTGTAGTTAGCATAGACCTGATCCACAAGGAATTAAGGGTAATGGAAAAGAGTCCACTGAAATCAGTAAGTGCTAGATTAATATATGCATATTCAGAGTCAAGCCATATCTGATACGCATTTTTTGGGGTTTTGGGTGAAGCCACTGCAGGTCTGCTCATGAGAAACGAATTGCTCAGTCTGGGGCATATCCAGTCCACCACAATATATACAATAGCTTAACCATTCATAGAAGGGAATAGTCTATGTAGTCTTTATTAGAAGTGCTCACATGATGTTTCAAGACTCATTTAAGACACTGAAAAGAAATTTACTGGAGACTTTATGAGCTGTAGTAACTAAGAAAATGGCTTCCACGCCAACAGTTAAAAACGCATATGCCAGCTCTGCATTAACAGTTTTTTTTCTCTATCTGCTTCTCAACTGAAGCTCAGTTTGCAGTCCACTGGGTACCATTACTTCAGTAATGTTAAAAGCCAGACATCAAATCAGAAAGAAATTCCAACTTTCCAGAGGAACTTCACATTGTGAACAAACTATAGTATGGAACCAGCAGAGATTAAAAACATCCACTATTGTACTGAAAACACCCTTGCCTTCAAACTTACTTTCCACTGGTAACACTGGTAAGTTTGTACAGCACATATGCAGATAATAAATTTAATTGGACTGAATACTGTTGCCAAGACAAGAACCCTCCCTTTTTAGCACCCCAGGTAGGCTTTATGCTGTTCTCATCAACTACAGAACACCACACATTGCAATGTAGCTGTAAGGATTGTGCGTACAGCCTATTGCTCAAGAGTCTCATAACACAATGCTATTTTTATACCACTTAGTGGCATAAATGTAAGATGATACCAAGGCTCCTAAGCAGGAACAAGTGATCCACTTACTGACAAAGTGCCCCAACAGCATGCACATATATTTTTTCTTACCAAATAATTTCTGCAATACTTGTCCATCATACAGGTCTTCAGCCAAGTCTTTCACAATAATCCTCTCTCCTACCAACACATCATTAATCCAGTCGATTAATACCTATATAGGAAACACAAATTTGGCAGTATTATACACTATTCATTTGCAATTTAAAACACATGTCATTTTGTACAATGATGAAAATACTTAGCAGAAAGAATACCAAAGCTGCAATGGCTCAAAGTACAATTGGTCTGAAGTGCCACCGAGAGAAAATAGGAAGGAGTTAGGAAGGACTCTTCTAAGGTGGCTGTGTCAATGTACCACAGGTACTAGACAAATATCAGATTGATGCAGGACCTTCTGAAGTGAAATCTGTCCTTTGCTTTTAGTAGTATTTTAACATTTTATTATGAAGCAAAAGGTGTTGAAGTCGATTCTAATGAAGCTTCCTGCTAAAGTTCTAACCCCAAGAATCACAGAGACTATGAAGGAAGTCAGCATGATCTTAGAGTGGGGGTGTGATGGGACTAAGAATCTGAACTCAAGATTTTAATCCAAATTCTTAATTTTCTCTACACCATACCTAGCTAAAGATACTCCAACAAATGACCTGTCCATTTAAATGGGGAGGTATGCAATACGTGGTTTAATTTAATTAATATCTAAACAGCGCTTGGAAGTATTCAAATGAAAGAGGCATTAAAAAATAGTTTCACTCTCCTGAAAGTGTTTACATGCTTTTCATTACCTTCATTAGTTCTTGTAATTTTGGGTCATTTCTTGAATTTGGATCAACCATTGTTCGAACTTCATTTTCCTCTGGAAGGTTTAAAAGAAATATTAGAAACTATTACAGGCATGACACTTTATTTACATCAAACTTTTATGTTGAGATGTAAAACTGTTGTGAATTACCTAGCATAGTGTCCTCAGGGTCTAGTTCGAATGGAATTGGACTGAGAGGTAAGTTAATGGCATTTATTCCTTCTTCCTGTAATTCAGACACTAGGAAATAAAAAAGAAGAGCTTGGTCAAATTTCAATTCAATTTTATTTACTATTTCACTCTTGCTAAAAGCAGCATTAATTGTCTTAATTTCTTTATAAGAACATGACTCTATTAGATAAACCACTAGGTGTAATTACAGCAATAAAATATAGCTAACAAAAATGGGAAACCCAGCCAACAAATCTTTACTTGTACGAGTAGATTTTTTTGTAGATAATTGTACTGGAATCAATGCAATTTCCTCAAACCTTTTCCAGGATAAGGCCCATTGTCCTCAAATTTTAAAAGGCTCACTTGCATTTTAATGACCCTGACATTTTAACACTAATGAATCATTTCAGCTGAGGAAAATTATTATTGCTCTCAGCTATGTTACCCTTGCTCTGGAGATGCTTCAAGTTTAGGTACTTGAGAAGAGCTGGATCTGGCTATATACCCACATAGGAGCTGCCAGACAGATAAACTATTTAGGACTGAAGATGCAGTCGCAGCACATGGCTCCCTCCATTGTTCAGGTCAGAGACCAGCTGGAGAAGACTGTGGGACGCTTCTGGCCTGTGTTCTTGGGCTATCTTTAGCAGAAACCGCGGCAGCAGGACATAGGTGTAAGATGATAAACCCTCAAAAATACTGCCTTAGTGTGGAGTCCAAACACAGGTTGAGAAAGAACTTGGACACAAGAGTGGGGAAGTAAACGAAAATCCCATAGTTTGGAGATGTTCACAGTCGTCAGGAAATATGGACAAGTTTTTACTCAGCCAAAGTCCACTAATGCTGCAGAAATTAATGTTCAAAAGAAGATGCTCAAAAATACATGCTCTGATGCCATTGGAACAGAGAGATCCAGAGAAGAATTGTAAAAGCAGTCCTCCCTCTAGTTCTGTACTTTTCAGGTTTTGTACCTGGTGCAGTTCAGGGAAACTTCATTCACACCTCTCGGTGACCCAAACTTCAACAGGTTGCAAAGAAAGACAAAACCCTTCCTTCACTGCCCAAACACGCTTCCATAACAGAAGAGAATAAATACAAACAAGCCAATACACTAATCCTACTGCTATGGAAGAACACATAGCAAAGTGCAGCGAGGGTACCCACTTCAGTGATCAGACAAGCTTGTATCTGCTTTGTAACCAAGAAATCAGTGCAAACCTGATGTACCAAACCTGGAAAGAGGCTCACTGTCTTATGGATGACCAGTAAGCAACATTGTTTTGACCACTCTTTTTCCAGTGTACAGACCTTCAATAGAACTGGTTCTTAGCACAACTTTTCTAGTCAGATTTTAAACATAAATAAATTAAATAACTTAATTTATCCATCCTACATGTGTCCTAAAGATTCACATAGTTGTATACACCTTCTGACATGAACTAAAATATACGATTTATATTCAGATGCAGATTCACCATCTAACATTTCAGATTTACTATCTGAAGCTTTCTTCAGTTTATTTTCAAAATTATGGAAACAATTTAGGTTTGGAGAAAACAGAAAAGTAGAAATTGACAATAGGGATCTTGTGTTTTGATGCTGGCGCCATGACTGCCTCATAAGTTAGCTTTTGGAAAATAGCTTTACCTCTCTGCCTTAATTTTCTATGTGTAATAAGTAGAGCAAAGTTTCACATGAACACTGATAAGTCAGTTGGTGTGATAACAGTACTTAAACTTCTCCAAATATTTTCTACGCTTTGTGAAATGTTTTGTGCTCTGACAGATTAAATGCTTGTGCATATTTCAAGAGTCTGTAGCTGTATTCAGGCATCTACGTAAAATTCATAGCAATAATGGCTGTTAGAATGCTTATTATTTTTAATTGTACAAAAAAACTTTGAAAATCCACTACCTTCAATACACTAACTTCACTCCATAAACTCACCCTGCTTGTGTATCTGTAAAATACAAATACAGTGCAGCTCTAAAGAGTCATAAAATAATGTTGACAATAATAGTTCCCTGGATTGTTGTATATCCTCTAAAACTGATGGCTGAGAGCAATGGACCAAATTAATCCCTCATGTAACTCCACTGAGTTCTGAGGAGTTATAGCAAGGATGAATTTGGTCTAGCATGTACAATCTCAGGAACTGTTTACACTTAATGGCAGTTTTTTGAATTGCTAGCACTCCTTAGAGAAAATCATTGTTGGTTTTATTAACCTCTTTTTCGTTTGTTGTTGGTTTTTTTTTTTCATTTTGGTTCAAAATGGTTATAGACGTAAAAATGTCAGTGGATAGAAAGCTACTATATGGAGGCCTTTCTGTTCTGAAATGTTTAGTTCACAGAGGACTTCTGCACAAAGGTTCCTAGGCAGAAAATGGTTTTTTTCACATCAATCCCAAGAGGCAGCATAGTAAAATAAAATCTTTTCAAGCCAACTGGCTGCACTGAGCTCTCCTGTCCCAAAGGGCTGGATGGTCTCCTTGGGCACGACACACTGAAGGAAGCAGTCAGCATATCTTCCTAGTGCAGGACAGCGGGGAAAGCTTTTGGCTTTTCTCTCCAGGGAGCAAACCCACTGGCAGAGCTCACTGACACTTCTCCAGGGAGACAGAGTGGACCTTCCAAGGCTGAACATTTTGTAAGTCATTCTTTACAAGACCCAGTGACCCTCCCCATTTTTGTCCTCCAATGTGCACAACTATTACATTCTGCTTTCAATAACATGACCTTCATCATATTATCAACGTTTCTGAAAATAAGAGAAAGCAAACAAAAAAGTGTCATATCTTTGCATGGAAAGGTGATATTAAATACAAATAAAATAATAATAAATATACACGAGAAACTAATATATTGATCTGTTCTAGAAAGCATTGCAAGTGCTGTATTTATTGTACAGCAGGGGCTAAATCTTGCTTTGCTGTACACATGTATGCGCAAGTGGTGGTCTTGTTCCCCCAAGCAGCTCACCCAAATTGCTTACATTTCTCACACCTGCCTGAGCCATATGCAGAACCTACCCAACACACCTCTGGACGATCCAAAGATCCCAGATGGATCCAGTTTGCCAGTGAGGACAGCTCCTTCTCAGCCACTGCATTCTGCAGTGCACAACCCATGCTCAATGTTGGTATTAGTCCCGCAATAAAGACTCCTCCTGCCCTCCTGACCCCTACAAGCAGAAAACATGACGGACAAACCCTGAGCCTGACAGCATCTTTTTAATTTCCTTCCCAATACTGAAGTGAAAAGATTTAACAACAGATTAATCATATTACTAAAAGGAACAGGTAAGAACACATGTATGATATCAAGTTGTATGTAAAGGGAGAGAAAATGGATTAGGTAGTATAGCCTGACTTTCTAAAAATTTCCATCAAAAAAGTTCCATAACAAACCACTATTATACACTTAGGTGTTTATAGAGGAACCACAATAATGTGATTGAGGTTAAGAGTTTGCATACCACAGTTTCAGCACAGTAATCCATTTTTCAGTTGCTTTTCATTAATTTGTTTTAATTAATTTTCAAGAAAATAACTTCAGCAATTTAGTATTTTAATAAAAACAAAGCACACAGGTTTGGGACAATTTCTGCAGCAACTGAAATTAAAATAAAATAATCTGATTTTTTAAATACTTTGAGGAATGACTTGGAGCATCCACAAGACCTCCTCTCTGGGTCTTACAGTGTAAAGACCCAGGAAGGGAGGAGGGGGCATAGCTGCAGCAGTTCATGTATAGCACACCAGTTGCCAGGAGCCAGACTACTGCACTGGGACCTGTGGCAGCTCCTCTGAAGGACAGTATCCACAGAGTTGTCTGCTTGACATCAGGCATGCTTGGCCACTGGACAACCCCAGCAACTAGTTAAGAGCACCTTTCTGTTCTCACCCTCTGCTGCAGCCCAGATGCAGCCCAGTGCGTTGGCTACCATAGGGCTTGTTCTCATTGTGCTTAAACTGGCATGATTGAGGACTTTATCCTTTTGGACATGAGACGAAAATCCAGTCCTTCATGGTTTTGGTTGGTTTTTGTTGGGTTTTTTTTTACAGTCACTATGCTGAGTGAAACTGGGGCTTGAATGTACTTTTAGAGCAAGATGCTTAAAAGCAACAGTTACACATGGACCAGACAAATCTCTGTGGATTGGCAATGTGAAAATCCCAGTTTTAACTCTGGATAAGGAATGGACACTTCTGCTCAGACTTCTCATTCAGCTTCACATGCCAAATTTGTTATGATGTAATCAAGTGCAACTCCACTGTCAACAGACTTCCTCCTATCATGCCAGCACCAAATTTGGCCTCAGAGCTCAGGAGCCCACAAGCTTGTATCAACAGCAACTACAGCAGCTATTTTAAGCAGGATAGAGTTCTTACTGTTTTAGATGCTCTAGAATTACAAGGTCATAAACCTATGCTATCAAATCCACGCGGGTGCTCTGAGCCAGACTTTGCCCTTTGATGCATGCATCCAACTGCCATTGAAACTGTTGGACGCCGAGCACATCTGAAAGTGGAGTACTGCCCATACGGTTTAAATTGGCTTAATTCCTCTAGTACATGCAGCCTGTTGCTCCACATTGTATTTATTAGACAGTTTCATTTGGGTTTTTTACTTGTTTATTTTGTGTGCTGAAGGCTCTTTGCTGCCCTGTTTAGTATTCAGGGATTAATGTTATTCTGATTTGAATAAAATACATATTATTTAACTGAGCTCAGAAATGCCACATCACCCAATGCACTCTCTGTGGTTTAGACATATTTTAGCATATCCATCCAAGGAGTCGCAAAATAAATACAGCAAGATGTAGTGTTAAATGGTCTCTCCTCTGAGTGCTAGAGCCATGTCTTTCCATATAATTGATTCCATACTTCCAAAACTAAAACTACACCAGCGCTACAGCACTAACAAACAGATCGATTCTGAAAGTTTGTGATTAACTAGAACCGAACCCTAATGTTGGAAGAGCACAGGGATACAATGCTTCTAACCTCAATCTTTCCAAATCAGGAGATTTAAATATATGCATATACACCCACACAAATATATAAATACACACTTCCGCACTTCTTTAACTTCATTTCTTTAAGAAAGGTTTTCCATTCAAGGTCTTCTCTGCCATTTTTAAGGTTGCAAATACTTTGGTTTGTTTGGTTTTGTTTTGTTTTCTGTGGAAGCTGAGATCTGTTGACATTCACATGGCTCCAGGAGTTTAAGCCTGCTATAAAAAGTCAAAGTACAAACTACTTGATATTATAAACTACTATGACAGAAGACAGTAGTTTTACATGCCACGTCTCTATCTTAAGCTACTTTTTCCTCAAGCAGGCACAACTTAGAAAGCTAGCTGCAGACATCATATTGCCAGAGTAACACTGGATATTTGTATATACACTCACATTATTCAAATATGCATACATATGTTACATATGTTTATGTATGTAGATAGAAATTACAGCTAGTTTAGAAAAATGCTGATTTTCAATAAGAAATGTCTCGACTGCTCTTGTACAGACAGAGACATCCACTCAACAAATATAGATGAATCAGTTTTGATTTCATATCCTCTTTACTGGGCCCAGGTTTCTGTTAAATGCTCATGACTTTGATGGCTTGCTTCTGTAACCACTTGTGCACAAAAGCAGCTTTACTTCTTTTACTGACTTGATAGTCTGCAATACAGACTTGAGCGTAAATGACTCCATCCACACAGATTTCAGTGGGTTTATGCAGATTTATACTAGCTCACTGCCTCAGTGTGATTCCTATTCCCCCTCACATACTCCACTTTTATACCCTGATATAAGTCCAGTGGAGAAATTCTGAACTTGTACTGGCAAACTGTGAGAAGAGATTCAAATTACCTATAATGGCTAGAGAATCCAAGAAAAAATAGGAAAATCATTTTCAAAAAGTCTTAGTTTAAGCTTTTACAGAATGCCACTATTTAGTCAAGCAAACTTATGCAGTTGCTTTCTGGGTCATCCATCCAAAATGTTATTTTCTAATGCCTGTGTGTGTGCATCTTATAAGCCCACAAAGGGAAAAGAAAATATTAATCTAAAATAGTACTGGCTAATTTTCTTGAATACATAATTCATCCAATATGGATTTTGGCAGCTCAGCTTTAACTCCGAAACAAAAGAAATCCACACAAAAGACAATAAATCTGCATTACACATGGTACTAAAATGATCCAATGGATTTATAGATGTTTACAAGTTTGCAGAGTGTGACACAGTGTCCACCAGAAATTTGATATTCACAGCACAAAACATCATAAACATATGTCTGCAACTACAAAGGGGCCTTTTTATGTGGGGATCATTGTTAAAATTGTCTTCAGAACATAAACCTTAAGTTGTAAATGCTACTCCCCATTTATTCTCCAAGACATAACAAATGAGGAAAGAAAAGCAGAGATATGTTTGTAATTGAAAATGTTTCTCAGGAAATGATCTGTACAGGAACATCATTCTCATTCCATTAACTGCTGACTCCAAGCCAACCATTTGTAAAAGTAAATAAATATGCAAACTGGCTGACAACAATGTGCCTGCCTTTAATGTTACTGCATTAGTACCCGGTCTCCAAAAAAGAATCTATTTTCTTTTCTCATTTCTCCATTAAACCAAACATGGCATATACACAAAAGAACGGGAGAAATGCTGTTCACAAAAAAGAACGGGAGAAATGCTATAATTGAATTTTCATATATGCAATACAAATTAAATGCTTATTGCCTTGAACCTTCTTTAAGGTCCAAAGCTACTCCGTAGTACCTCAGTGACTAGTTTGCTGTTCCGTTCTTTTTTGCAATTAGCAGGGAAAAAAACCCTCCATAGATTGACAGATCTCTGGTCTGAGTAGGTGAAAAAAAACAACAAAACAGGGAGGAAACTGAATTCTTTTAGAGTATGTGTGATTTTCTTTGCCATGTAACAAGTAGCTTCATTAAGCCTTACATGCTTTCACGTTTCATTTGGGATGAAGGTTCTTCCTCAGAATTTTCCTGTAGTTTCTAAGAGGTAACAAGTGGTGCTGTGTCAAGCTAACACAGAGGCAGGTCATTCCATTAATTCCTTCAACACATCTTTTAAAATACATCAGCAGTATTAGCAGATGTTTTGAAAAGCCTGTCACCCTACAGGAGTGTTTAATATATCCCTGGAAAAACATAGAAGACAGCATTGGGAACAAACACAGACAGGAGTTCAAATGACACTGATATTTTCCCCTACTGAAGAGCAAACCACGCATATGAGAAATGCTGTGACCATTCCAAGTCCTTATCAAAATGTGCTGCGCTTAATCTAATCCCAGCCTGAAAACTCCGCAAACAGCCTCACATACATTGGTAGAGTCTTTGTGCAAAAGATACCTGTAGGTTGTTAGCTGCTCTGCACACAGTATCCCTACATACAAAATATCTGATTGAAATAAATACTTTGACAACTAAGATTTCCAGATATTCATTGAGCTATCTCAGAACTGATTTATTGAGATATTTCAGAACTACATGGGGTGCTTGGGGCTACAGGGAGACAGAAGGGAGCATTTGTATCCTCCTCACCAATATTTCCATATTTCTAGAGTTATAACAAATCTGCAAGTAGCAACATCCAGAAGAGTCAGATCTCTTGGTGTAGCCCTAACCAAGGGAAGGCAATTGGGTGAACCTATAGGGTTCAACATATAGGGTGAACCTATATGTTCACCACCTTGCTGCAAGTTTTTTCAAAATATTGTGGAGAAGCTTATTTTATAGGACTAACTTGCCTCATTCTCTGAATCACCAACCAGCTAATAGTGGCTATTCCAACATCAACAAGAAGCACTCATGCAGAAAAGACAAAACCAAAGATCTGTTCCAAGAAGTCTTTCCCAGCTCAACAAGTTCTAGCTACTCCTAGGGGAAAAGCCAAAAATAGTTCTTAGGAATGCGAGGGCACACTAGTAGCAAGCTAAGGACTTCCTGAATTTCTTGCTCTTTTCTTCTTGTGTATATAAGTCTTGTTTTTGAAGGACAAAAAAATTAAATGTCAGACCCACTGCATCTCAATAATCTAGATGACTACTTCTTCTTGGAAGAATTTAAAAAAATACTATATTT